GATAATAATTACACTAATTTGAATAAATGAGTAAGAATATAGTACTCTCAGTTAAAATGCAATTTCTCTTATCTAACCAATCTCTCTGTACTCAGCAAAGAAGCAATATTTGCATTTGAACTTTCCGGATAAAGGATTGCAACATAATTATATTCTAATATATTCTGATTAATTTTGAGAAGCCTCACTATTAAAACTCAAGTAGAAGAATTCAAGGTTCTCAGAGGTGTGGAATTTCATTTTGACCCCAGTTCCATCTGTGATTGCAGGTAACTCTATTCACATCACATAATGAGACCGAATATTTTTCAAACCTAAAATAATATGAATACTTATTTCAGTAATTCAACCAGTAAATTCTTCCTCTATGTCAACTAAGCCATCTTAATTCTTAAAAAGTAAGTAACTTACACAAATCACCTCTGAAATATATAGATACACACCTTAAAGAGGCTTTAGCCCTTCTTGTAGATACTTTGGCAAATACAGCATTTAAGGATATAGTATTAACTATTAGACATAATCCTACCAAACTATTACTAATACACAATTGGATGTAAAACCAGAGTTGGATATATGAGACTAAGGCCACAATCATCTTAAATAAAATGTAGGGTAATTGAGAAAGTTCAGCCCAATCTGCATTAGATTATGCCCCCCAAGCTAACAGTACAGCTGTCCAGATCACTCATTAAAAAGACCATTAGCCAACTGGACTAATTGGTTTGGCTGGTTTTTTCTCCCCCCTCTCTTTGCTTGGCTACATATAAATGCTTGATTTCCTCTCACAACTGGTCCTTTTCATTGTGTTTCCCAGTCTAACACTAATTTTCACATTACTAACCATGTAAATAGAGAAGGTTATATATATAACCCTGGAAAATTTTTTAAGCCAGAACTTATAAACCTTTTAAAATATTCATAAATAATCAGTAAATACGTACACTGAAACTTGACTAGCATTCTATGTTCAGCCTAACGTTTTGCATTATTTAACTGATGGCTGCTGCTCAAATTATCCGCTGGCCTATCAACACAAAATAAGGGGTGCCTGGGTGGCTCAGTCGTTAAGCGCCTGCCTTCGGCTCAGGTCATGATCCCAGAGTCCTGGGATCGAGCCCCGCATTGGGCTCCCTGCTCTGCGGGAAGCCTGCTTCTCCCTCTCCCACTTCCCTGCTTGTGTTGCCCCTCTAGCTGTCACTCTCTCTGTCAAATAAATAAATAAAATCTTAAAAAAAAAATAATAGACCTGGGAGGAAAAGAGTAATATATCAATTTGATTTACAAACAGCTCCTATAAAAAAGGACCAATGAAAACAGGGAATAGATGAACCAGGAAGCTAAGAAAGGACACTGGCATCTTTTGAATCTGGCAACCCAGCCTTTCCAGACAGTATATTTGTTTTGCTTTGTAGAGGAAATACTACTTTGAACAATGGATAATAAATCTATGGAACACAATACAACAAACTATGTCCTGGTAGGATATATAATGGGTTCCAGAAACATTTGGGCTAATTTATACAAGACAGAGACATAAATAACTACTAAAGTGAAATAGAACATCCTAGCTACAAAGGCCTTCATACTGTGTAAACCAGGGGTACAATCTAATATATCAATTTCTATGTCTTTGTGAATGTAATTATCACTCTCCTTTCTCAAGATTAGCAATATATTGGCTCTTTGGAATTTGTTCCAGTGACTCCTCTCTGGATATTGAGCTACACTATTGTTTCAAATGGCTCCTTATCCAGGTCATACGATGCTACATTATGGATCCTTCAGAGAACTTTTTTTGCCACCTGATTAACTTTACTCATTATATAGAATGAACAAAATTAAAGAGGAAACCTGATGTTAGCTTTGAGCAGTACTTTGCACCTTTATAGTATTAGCACACTAGGAAATGAAACTTGCCAAGTCTGGGGCATATCTTCACAATTAACAAATTGAAGCACCAAAAAACCCCATGAATATTAATTTGCTATAGTGTGTTAAAGGTAGCCCTTTAATTTCAGCCCTGATACTTTCTGGAAAACAAGTATTTTATAATGACCTGTTTTGAAACCCCGTAATATTCTAAACATTCTAATTGTTATCTCTTCCAGGTACTATTATCTGTGACATAAACTTTGTCTTCACGATAGTTATAACTGACCTGGGAAAGTTAAACAGAAGATAATTTAAAAACTACAAAAGTGATTTGTATTTGTAAGTTGGATGTTAGAGTGTATGCTTTCTTCAGGGTTTTGTAAAAGAACGTAATCACTGATTGAAGCCGTGATGGACAATGCAAGGTCTGACATGGGCTTAAATAGAATGTTAGAGATGTCTGTTAATAGGCAAAACCTAGAGAGCACTTCGTGTTACGAAGAGTGGTATGGGTAAAAAGATAAGTTGAATTTAATTCCAGTGTTTCAGTTCTCAGTATCTTTGCCTCAGATCCCTTCCTACCTTTTCCTTGCTTTTCTGTGTGTAGCAAGGAAGATGGTAGACTCTATATACTGGTTTCTATTCAAGTTAAGCCAATAGGAGGCACTGATGGAACATAGGATAGAAAAGAGAAACCAGGCAATTCTGTTTATGTCTGCTTCTGATGTTTTCTCTGGCAGTGACCTAGGGCTCCAGATCTTGGTAAACTACATCTCCATTTGTCCTATAAGAGGAGAATTAAAGTTGGCTTTCTACCAATCTCTGGGTTGCCTCATTCTCCCCTGATCTTTCAACTTTTCTTTCACCTGTATAAAAAATTTCTTGACTTAAATTCCATTTGATTTTACTACAGAGAATGGTTTCTGAAAATATTTAACCAATCCTAGCTAGACCCCAATGAACACATCTAACCTAGGGAGTTGGGACTTACTATTCTGATACTCTACATGACTGTAAAATAAAGATTGTTTTTACTCCTCAATTAAGTAGAATTTTCTGAAATTACTTTGTAGGATGAGTTTTCAAAAACAGGTTAGTTGAAGTATAACATACTATAAAGTTCACTAATTTTGGATCATGTCATACAATGGAATCACACAATATATGGCATTTTCTGTCAGGTTTCTTTTATTTACAATAATATATTCAAGGCTCAACTATATTGTAGTATGTATCTGTACTTGATTCCTTTTTTATTGCTAAATAATATTCTGTTGTACAGATATACCCTATTTTTGTATTCCATTCACATGGGCATTTGGGTTGTTCTCACATTTTAGCTATTATGAATAATGCTACTATGGACATTTGCCTACAAATCTTGTGCAGACCTATATTATTATTTCTCCTGGGCATATATCTGAAAGTTAAACTGTGGGGTCCTATGGCAAATCTGCATTCATACACACATATATCAGAGTGGGTAATTTCCCATGAAACTCTAGAATATTGCTAATTTAACAAAATCTGTGGTATACTGGGTTATATCTTTCACAGTGAAGGTTTTGTTACGTTTTAACATTAAGAAAGAAGTAAAATGCTTGCCGGACCTCTCTGCATTGTACTGGGAATATATTCTACATTTGGGACATGTGTTCCTGACTCATTTACAAATGATCTGAAAGGCTCCCAGCTCTGAGTGTGCCTCAGGGAAAGAAGAGGCTCTTTACAAGGTCCAGACTCAGTGATAAAATGAGTCTACCAATTGGTCCTCTATGACCTGACCTACTGGATTCAATGAGCCTGCTATAACCTGACGAAGATGGGGGAATTTCAGGCACTACCTGACCTGTGAATCCCAGAGCAAGTTCTGAGAATTTTGTACCAAATTGACACTCTCTTTGGCCAGTAACTACTCATTTTGAGTATTTCTTTTTGCTTTGCCAATGGATTTTGATAGATCCTATGACAATCCCTTACAGACAAATCAAGAGGAAACTGCTCCCTCTCTCGCTGTTTCTCTGTCAAATAAATAAATAAAACCTTTAAAAGAAAAAAAAAGGAAACTCCCATTTTACATTGGTAAACAACTATTATTGTTAGAACAGCTCTTGGCTTTTGATAAGCTGTGATGAAATCTGAATTCCTGATGATGGACACCATGAAAACTTTGACTCAAAAAGTTCACCATAGTATAGGGCCATAAATTTAGTCATGTCCTGAAATACTCCATCAATAAATAAAAATGACATAAATAATGGCTGGCACTCAAAATGAATTATTTTATTCTGCATTTCAGTTTCTTTGAAGATGAGAGTTTGATGTTATAATGACTAATACATTGGGAAAAACCAAAAGCTAGCTAATTTTCTATGAAACTTGAAAAAAAACACACAAACTTTTAAAATGTATAATTATATTCAGTTTGTTGAACATTGAAATAGAATTTGAATGAATCTCTGGCTGGTTGTGTGTCTATTTTGTCCCTGCCTTCATTTTAACAAAGTATTTAAAAATTAAAAATAGATTCATGTTTTAAAACTACAGCTGTGTCAGTCACATCCATTAAGGTCTGTGAGACAGGAGTTTTTATTTTAATAACACTTCATCTTCACATGTCAGATGCCCTGCTATTTCAGTGTTTCCAGAGAAATAAGTCATGAGTAAATAAATTATTTTATACAGATAAAAACAGCTTCTGTTTACAATAATCTCCCCATCTAGCATTAAGTGAAAAGAAGTAACATTCATTAAGACACCAAGGGTTAGCCCTTTGATACAAAGGATATTCTCTTCCAACAAATCTGCTTAAATAATTGCCAGAAGATTCCTTTTAACACTGTGGAAGTAGAGATGACTTCCTAAATAGTTTGAAGCAAAGAACAACTCGTACTAGAGAGTTCGCAGCTGGAGCAATTCCAACAGGGAATGGTAAACTTGCTTGATGGGACGCAGCAAGCAATTGGTAGAAAAAGTGGTATCAATTTTAAATGCCATAGCAGCTTCTTATTTAAGTATTCTAATAATAACAATGCTTTAAAGATAGTTATTGTCCCTGGATTCCCAAGATATTCAAATCATAATATATTCAACTACAAATAGAATATGTATAGTGTCATGGGTACTCACACGGATTTTTGTTTGAGGTAAGTCAGTAGACTAAGAAATTCATTCTCTTACTGTAGATGATATCACAGTGCACATGCTATTTGGCACCAGAAAACTATAGCAGCACCATGGTAGATGATTACGTATTTACCCCAGTTGCAATGTAACCTCGTCCTTCCAGTCTGTGGACCACGCCATGTAACTTGTTTCGGCCAATAGGATGCTAGCATATATGATGTAGAGACTTGTGAAAGCACCTGCATGTTTCTGCTCATTCATGCTCTCTGCTATCACCAAAAAGTCCATGTCCACAGGAACTTTCTGGATGATGAGAAACAAAAGGTAAAGAGTGAATCATTTCAGTCATCCCAGCTGAAAACTTACTAGATCAGCTGAACCACAAAAATCACCCAGCTGATCTCAGAGTAAAATGCACACTATTAATAAATGGTTATTGTTTTAAGCAACAAAATCTTGGCATAGTTTCTTATGCAGCACTCTGGTGGCAATGAGTAACTGATATAAGCGTTAAGTAGAAGAGAAGAGAGAGGATATAATTAATAAACCAAGATAAAGGCCCTCAGGGCATTGATGTTTCTCTTCAACTGGGAACTATTTTGTGTTCAAAATTCCATAGGAAGTCTGTTTCTATCACTCAAAAGAATAGTTGAAACACCTATTACAATATAACTGTTCTCAACAGAACACACACACAATGAACTTAAGTATTAAAAAGTAAACAGGGTTTTGGGGTGGCTCCATTCCTCCCAAGTCCTTCCTCTTGCAACTAAAAACATCCTGGACAAAACACAAGGAACAAACATAAAAAGGCTCTGAAAATTGCTATAGTTGGTTGAACAGTGTCCCTCCAGAAGATGTCTAAGTTCCCATCCCTGGAACACATGAATTTGACATCATTTGGAAAAAGCATCTTTGAGATGTAAATAGATTATGGATATCCAGATAGCACCATCCTGGATTCGAGTGAGACGTAAATCTAATAACCAGGGTCCTTAGAAGAAACACAGAGGGGAGGCCATGTGAAGATGGAGCAGAAACTGCAATTATGTTGTCACAAGCCAGGGAACACCAGAACCTGGAAGAGGCATGAAGGATGCTCTTCCCAGAATCTTTGGAGGGAATGTGGACCTGCCAACACCTTCATTTTTGACATCTAACCTCCAGACCTCTGAGAGAATAAAATTCTGTTGTGTTAAGGCACCCAACTGTGGCAATTTATTGTGATAGTGCTAGGAAATTAATATACGCGGAAAGAAAAAGGATGACCAAACAGAGACCTGGGGGCTTGAGGGAAAAGATGGTAGTGAGTTTCCTGGGATTCCTTGTTTTTTTAAAAAAAGATTTTATTTATTTATTTGAGAGAGACAGAGAGAGCACGTACTTGAGCACAAGTGGGGGAGAGGGGCAAAGGGAGAAGCAGACTCCACCCCCTACCTCTGTCATGAGCAGGGAGCCTGATGCAGGGATCTATCCCAGGACCCTGACCCGAAGGCAGATGCTTAACCAACTAAGCCACCCAGGTGCCCCTATTTCCTAGGTTTCCTTATTGCCTCCCAGATGGGGAGCTATAGAAAACCTCCATCCCAGAACTGAAAACAGGTAGAGACAAAACAAACAGACATCACACTTCCAGGAAAGCCTGCTCCCCAGCCAAAAGGACCTGGAAAGAGCAGGCTAATGCAACAGAAAAACTTTTTAACAAACAGCAGTGGAAGAACTGACCCACTCACCCTTGCAGTTTCAGTAGCGCTAAGTGAGGAGCTGATTTTCTACTGACTGGCCTGGTAGAAGCAAACTACAGTGCTCAAATTTCCCTACCAGGATGGTGTTGGTGGGGCCAAGTCGGGAGCTGAATTTTAAAGGTTGATGGAAACAGGCAGCAGTGATCCCATTCCTTTGACCCAATTTCTTTGCCCAGGTAGTGTTAGTAGGAATCAGCAGCAATCTGAACCCCTATCACCATCCAGCAGCATCAAGACTGAAGGAGGGAGAACAAAGTGGAGTTAGTCTGAACTCTACTATACCTGACCTTCTCCCATGTCACCAAAGCCTAGCAAGGAGCTGAAATTCCAGCCCTGCCCCAGCATCAATACAGTGAAGTGAAGTGATAGGAGAGGAGCACCTTCTGCTGTTAGCAAGGACCAGAAGGAAGCTGAGCCTACCTACTCCCCTCTCGGTGGCAATGAGGAAGTGCTAGTTGATGCTTTCTTTGCTTTTGCTGGGATGTTAATGGGGCTGGGGAGAGCTGCACTTCCACCCTAATCATATTCAGTGAGGCAGTGTGAATCAGCTCTTATCGGGGTGGTTTTAGTGGGGTCTAACAGGGAAGTAACAATCCCCCTCCACCTGAACCTGCACACAACTACAAAACAGGGTGACTTGTGTGCTAAAAATAAGATTAAACAGGATTCAGAGTCTTATCACATAATTTCCAAAATAATCTGCACACAATCAGAAGTCATTCATCATACCCGAAACCAGGAAACTCACAATGAGAAAAGACAACAGATGCCAACAATGAGATGACAGAGATGTTGGGATTATTTGATCAGGATTTTAAAACAGACATCATAAAAATGCTTCCATGTACAATTATGAATATGCTTTAAAAATGGAAAACAGAGGGGCGCCTGGGTGGCTCAGTTGGTTAAGCATCTGCCTTCGGCTCAGGTTATGATCCCAGGGTCCTGGGATTGAGTCCCACATCGGGCTCCCTGCTCAGCGGGGAACTTGCTTCTCCCTCTCCCTCTGCCTGCCGTTCCCCCTGCTTGTGCTCTCTCCCTCTGTCAAATAAATAAAATCTTCAAAAAAAATGGAAAATGGAAAAATCTGAGCAAGGAAACAGAAGATATGAAAAGTTACCCATGTAAATTAAAGAATCTAAAAATGCAATAATTGAAATAAGAAAAGAATCACTGGAAGGCTAACTCTAAAGATTGAAAGAATATTGTTAAAATGTCCATACTACTCAAAGCAATCTACAGATTCAATGCAATCCCTATCAAAGTATCAAGAACCTTTTTCATAGAACTGGAACAAATAATACTAAAATTTGTATGGAACCACAAAAGACCCAGAGTGACCAAAGCTATCTTGCAAAAGAACAAAGCTGGAGGTATCACAATTCCAGATTTCAAGACATACTACAAAGCAGTAGTAATCACAACAGTATGGTATTGGTAAAAAAAAAAAAAAAAAAGTAAGACACATAGATCAATGGAACAGAATACAGAGCCCGGAAATAAACCAACACTTAAATGGTCAATCTATGAAAAAGGAGGCAAGAATATACAATATACAAGAATATACAAAAGACAGTCTTTAATAAATGGTGTTGGGAAAACTGAATAGCTATATGTAGGAGAATGAAACTGGACCATTTTCTTACACCATATACAAAAATCAACCCAAAATGGATTAAAGTCCCAAATGTGACATCTGAAACCATAAAACTCCTACAAGAAAACAAAGGCAATCATCTCTTGGACCTTGACCTTAGCAACATCTTTCTAGATATGTCTCCTGAGGCAAGGAAACCAAAAACAAACAAACAACAACAAAAAAAAACATCAGGACTATTTCAAAATAAAAAGCTTTTGCACAGCAAAGGAAACCATCAATGAAACAAAAAGGCAACCTACTGAATGGGAGAAGATATTTGCAAATGATACAACCATTAAGGGGTTAATATTGAAAATATATTGAGAATTTATACAACTCAACACCAAAAAAAGAAAAAAAAAAAAGCTGATTTAAAAATGGGCAGAGGACCTGAATGGATAATTTTCTAAAGAAACCTACAGATGGCCAACAGACACACGAAAAGATGTTCATCACTAATTATTAGGGAAATGCAAGTCAAAACCACAAGATATCACTTTACACCTTTCAGAATAGCTAGAATAAGAAATACAAGAAATTACACACTGGCGAGGATGGAGAAAAAGGAACCCTCACGCACAGTTGGTGGGAATGTAAATTGGTGCAGTCATTGTGGAAAAAAGTATAGAGATTCCTCAAAAAATTAAAAATAGAAATACCACATGATCTAGTAATTCCATTACTGGGTATCAAAGAAAATGAAAATACTAATTCAAAAAGTTATATACATCCTTATGTTTATTGCAGCATTATTCACCATAGCCAAGATACGGAAGCAACCCAAGTGTCCACTGATAAATGAATAAAGAAGATGTGCTGTGTGTGTGTGTAATGGACTATCACTCAACCATAAAAAAAGAATGAGATCTTACCATTTGCAACAATATGAATGGATCTACAGAATATTATGCTAAGTGAAATAAGTCAGGCAAAGAAAGAAATACCATGTGGTTGCCCTTAAACGTGTAATTTAAAAAACAAAGAAACAAACAACAGATTCTTAAATACAGAGAATAAACTGGTGGTTGCCAGAGGGAAGGTGGTTGGGGGATGAGTGAAACAGATAAAGGGGATTAAAAGGTATAAACTCCCATTTTTAAAATAAGTCACAGAGAAGGAAAAAAGTTCAGTGTAGGGAATACAGTCAATCTTGTAATAACGTTGTATGGTGACAGATGGTGACCACACTTATGGTAACAAGTACTGAGTAATGTATAGAACTGTGGAATCAATATGTTGTACACCTGAAACTAATATATAATATTGAATGTTAATTATACTGCAATTTGGGGGAAAGGTAAAATAAATACTTAGTTATGAATCCAAATAAAATACATACATGATCAATATGCTGAAAGTTATAAGACATTGATGAAAAAATTTAAAATACCTAAATAAATGACTTGAAGATTCATGGACTTGAAGATTCAATATAGCAAAGACTTACTTCTCCCCAAATTGGTATGAAGACTAACACAATTTCTAACAATACCCCACCAAAACACTTTATATATATAGACAAGCTATGTTTAAAATTATATGGAAAGGGAAAGGAACGAAAATATTAACATGAATGGTAAGTAAAATGCTAAATACAAAAAAAAAATGGTAAGAATTCTTCAATGTTACACCAAGATTTACTATGCGTCTACAGTAATCAAGTCAGTATGGTTTTGGTGGAAAAATAGATACATAGGTCAATGGAACAGAATAGAGAACCCAGATATAGACTAACACGAACATGCCCAACTGATGTTTGAAAAAAGTACAAAAGCAATTTAAATGGTTGAAAAATCTTTTCAATCAACAGTGATGGAACAACTGAATATAAATAGACATATACATAAAGAACCACAACCCACACCTAACAATATATACGAACGAAATTCAAAACAAATCCTAGATTTCAGTGTAAAACA